ACGTATTTTTGAAGGCCGTGATTAATAACATTGACTACCTTTTTATATCCTAATGATATGCACATCAAGCCAACAAATGTAGGCCAGTTCTGAGGTCCAGATCCATCGATCAAAGTGCTCAGAGAACATTTTTTTTCTGGCGTACTGCATATGCTTTAGTGCAATTGAGTTTATGTTATTTCTTTACCCATAGCTTGCCTACTTTTATGTTTTAAAAAAATTTCACCCCATATTCTTTCCGTTTTTCATCTTAGGCATCAGGCGTTTATCCTTTAAGGCATTTATCCTTTTAATCTCTCATATCCAGATGAACTTCTAATGCATGGTCTTTATTAACAGAGCTCCAAATTGTATTTTTTTTTCTTGAAGGGGTCACGACTATAAATACTGCATTGGAATTTCTACTCTTACTGTCCAAAATTCTCAGAAAGGTAATCCTACTTATACTATAATCCACGTAGACTTGGAAATAAAAAATGTGAAATCTTAGCAAGTCCTCCACGGACCGTTCTGAGGTCAGAGGTCAGAGCTACATAGATAGATTTGGCTGACTAGGAATAAAATGTCCATTGAGCTAAGGCTCTGTTTAAACTATCTTATTTGTAGACTATGAGAGCACGCTGCAGCCTCGTTCAGGCTCTATCCCACCACTTCTTGGGTATATCTTGTAAGCAATTATGCTACAATTATGTTAAATAAAGGAGAACAATTTGAAAGTATCAATATGTTTTTTTTTTTTTTTTTGCAATTTAGAGTACTTGGAAGTATTCATTTGCTTCAGGGGGAATTTATGGTATGGGATTACATAAATTATATCAGAAGTGCACAGAAGAAAGAGGCACTCTTGCTTTCTAAAATCAAAGAGAGTTTAAGTGAAACAATAGTTTGGAAGATAGTAGCTCATAGAAAAAGATTATAAAAATTCCCTAAGGGTGTTAAAAGAGAATGGAGCTTAGAGAACTCAGAATTTAATATTTTTTCCCCAGTGTAAAATGACTCCGCTTTCTGATTCACGCCATGAGGCGTTCTTCGCCAAGTTTATTCTTCCTCTGAGACACACTGCTTGTAAATAGAGCTTAGTTTCCTCGGGTCTTTAGGTAGTCATACTATTGGGTCCTAGTCAACGGAAGTGAAGAGGCAATGGTTTGTGCAACAGTGCCTGACCTATTTCATAGTAGCCTTATAGGCAGGCTTCTGCAAGGGTTAAGAGAAAACCAAATTTACACACAATAGATGAAGCCTTGTGTTCGTATGACAAAGGAGACAGTCGCCTAGCCAGGAATGTCTGTCCTGAACAGTGACAATGTGAACTTAACCCAGGAATTTTTTTCTATAAAGTCACCTACAGGGTATGGCAGGTATAGCTGTTACAGCACTGAACACCCTCTTAACTAATATAAAGGAAAGATTCAAATAATATGGGAGTCTCCTACTGGCTCCAAAGGATTGTAAAAGGACTGGTGGGAAGGAAGAGGGAAAGACAGAGAATAGTGGCAGGGACAAGTTCTGCTCGTCCTTCCGCAGGCTTTGTCTTGGACAGTCACTACATCAAAACCACTCAAGGCTCAGCTGGTTAGGGAGGACTGGAGCACAGAATTCAGATTTTTTTTTCTTCACTCTTAAATTTGGAATTCTGATATTTTCTCAACCTCTTGAAGTGGAACATAATACTCTTAAGAAGGAAGGCTTGGGAGCTTCCCAGTATATAGGGAGTATTTATTTGGAAAAAGAGTGAAGTGATTTGAGGTAAGGGGTCTGGGGTTAGTAGCCTGAAGTGTGTGTATGTGTGTTGCATAGGGTTTTTACTGCTGTGGTAGAACATTGTGACCAAAAGCAACTTGGAAAGAAAGGGTTTATTGAACTTGCATAGCCCAGGTCACAGGCCATTGAGGCCATTGAGGGAAGTCATGGCAGAAACTCAAGTCAGAAACCTGGAGGCAGGCACTGAAACAGAATCAAATCCATAAGGGATTCCTGCATGGTGGATCTTCATGGCTTGCTCTGCTTCTGTATACAACTCAGGACCACCTGCCCTGGGTTGTCATCACCCACAGTGAGTTGGGGCCTTCTATATCAATTATTGATGAAGAAAATGTTTAACAGACTTGCCCACGGTCCCATCTGGTAGGGGCATTTTTCTCATTTGAGGTTTCTTCTTTCCAAATGATCTCAGTTTGTATTAAGTTGACAAAAAAAAAACCTAACCAGGACAGTATTATTGTGTGCAAATGTGTGTTGTATGTATAAGTGTGCAAATATGTGTTTGTATGTACATGTATGAGGACTGTTTAACTAGAGAAGTCAGAAAAGTGTTGGGTCATTCAGGGAAGCATAGTATGTGTCATTTCCAACCCATCAAACAGACCATCTCTTTTGTTTTATGACTGTCCTATTGTCAGCTTCCAACATCAGGATAATAAGTTTAGTGATGAATGAGGAATCTTACTGTAGAGACAGGCAGCAGACTCCTGTCTGCAGGTTTCATGAGCCACACTTCTCGTACTTGAGCAATAAGAATTGGGAGGGGCAGAAAAAGGAAAGAAATAAGTTAGGTATGGTGGATCGTGTCTGCAATGATAGTGCAGACTGAAGCAAGAGGTGTGCCTCAAGTTCTATGTCAGCTGAGATACACAGTGAGTTCTAAGTTAGCTTGAGCTACAGGGTGAACAGGGAGAGAGAGAGAGAGAGAGAGAGAGAGAGAGAGAGAGAGAGAGAGAGAGAGAAAGAGAGAGAGAGAGATCTGAAAGATGCCAAACCCAACCAACAAAAGGAGATTTTAAAACTAAGCATCTAGGGAATTGCATTCTGAGAGACTGAGCAACCAATGAATGGAGGTTTAACTTTCTGCATTAGGGTCATGGTTCAAAAGGAAGGTCAGGCATGTTCTAGAAACTGAAGGAACCGCATGCTGTTTATAACCTGGGTGTCTCTTGGTGAATCATCTGCTGTCTGTTTTCATTTCTCATTTTTTGTAATATTACCAATGCGTTTTATTTACACAAGTTAAGGACATTCAGTACTAGGCTTTCATACATAAATACACCATGTATTGATCACACCCATTCACTCTGTTTGCCCCTCTTTGCCCCTCGCCTCTTCCCTGCTCACTCATACTCACTTCCCACTCCATTGCAATCCCTCGGTACTCTTTCTCTCAAACAGCATCAACCCTTATGTAGGGCAAAATGTCTGAGCTCACCTTCAGATTTTGAAAACTCACCACTCTCCAAGATTGAAATCCCCACCAATCCCTGGTTTGTCCCAAGCTCAGGACTTGAAATCCTACTAATTCTCACCTGGAAATCTCCACCCTGGAAAACTCGGCCCCTATGAGAGCCTATATAAGCCTGCCTCCTGCTCAATTCTTTGCTGCTTCCCACCCAAGCAGAGGCAGCCACCTTATTGTGTCTTTCTCAATAAATCTCTTGTATGAGGTTTGTTGCGCAGTGTGACTTTATTGTATTCCTTGGCTCCTGACTGCTAGGAAACCTTTCTCTTCAGAGCTACAACACTTCCACTGGGGAAACCCTTCCCTCAGAGCCATAATGCTTATACCTTCTATGGAGGCAAAAGACAGCCTTTCTTCCCTAAGTCTTCCTTCCATCCCTTTTGCCCTCCTCTGCTTTCCTTCTTTCTTGCTATATTGGGTATTGAACCCAGGATATCAAGCCTCTTGTAGGAGGGCTCTACCAAAGAGCTGCATCCTCGGCTGCACTGACTTTTCAGTGAGGTTACTCTGCATTCACACCGGACTTTTATTCAGTTATGAAATATGAATCTGTCAAAAGAGATTCTGTCTAATTGCTAAGAGAAGGTATTTGATTTACAATAATATAAATTAAGTCAAAGAAAAAAAAAGAGGCAAACAAACAAACAAAATCCTCTGAGTTAAGCCAGGCTACCCTTTAATCCTAGCACTTGGGAGATAGTTCAAGGCCAGCCTGGTTTACAGAAAGTTCTGCAACAGCCTGGGCTATATAGAGAAACCTTGTCTCAAATAATAAGAAAGATCCTTCTGAGTTTAACCATATAGGAAGCAGGAAATACTAGCATTTCCTGAAGAATAAATCCTAATATACTTTGATTTGGCTTGAAATGACTATCAATCTTAAAAACAGACAAGATCACAGGCACTGGTGAGAAACTAAATATATCTTCCCAGTGACCAACAGTGACTTAAAAGTGTCTCTCTGCATCTTGTATTTGTTAAGAAGGTTTAGATGTAAATCCTGATTTGGGTATTAAAACAACATGTTTAGACTGATTAATGAGTAAGTGATGTCTCAGTTAATTTTTAATAAAGTGTGTGTATTTAGATTAGAGCTTCTAAATTCTCTTGAGAGCACTCATAAATATGAATGGTATGTCTTAGAATCGAGGACTTCCTAGATAACAGGACTGGAGCATGTGACCCGGCTCCTCCTCCTCCAGAATCTTGTCTCTGCTTTGCAAATGATCCCATTATTCTTTCCCACATCTCAGTGATAATCCAGCTCCACCGAGCAGCCCCCATCTGCAAAAAAAAATTACACTGTGCTTCCTCAAATTCTGCATCCAACGTACATTTCTGCTTAGCCTGCTCTTTCTTCCACCCTCCAGTACAGTTTTCACGGCTCGCTCTTCATACCTCAAAACTGAATTCAGACATTTGTCGCTCTCGAAAAACGTTTCTGACTCTGTACCAACTCCACAGTCTGCCCTGGGCTCGTCTCAGGCACCGCACTTACAGGGCAGACTTATATTTCTACTTGCATAGAGCCAACAACACACAAACAAAAGCAAACATATTTCTCAGGCAGCATGGCCCCTCCACGGGAGCCAAGTTCTTCATCTGGTGCTTAGCTGAGGAAATGACGATCTGTGATCACGCCGCATGCGAGAGCTGGACTGAGGCGATGCGGTTTATTCCAGAGTTGCAGGGCTCCGTTTGCAAAAACCAGGGCGCATCCTGTTTTAAGCAGGATGAAATACGATACAGGAAATCAAGTACTACACAATTCTGAGAATTTCAAAGGTTTAAAGTTGAATCGTCCAGAAGTTCCAGAGGCCAGGCTGCTGCTCTTTCTCACAGAAGGTGTGATTAGCAGTCCACTTCTTAAGAGGGCATTGCCTATAGGGAGCAGAAGAAATCCTGAGTAAGTCAAGTCCAGAGTGTAAGCGAACTATCGACACGGGCACACAAGTGACAAAGATCAAGGCCTTGGGCCCATGGCAAATTGGCAAAGCTTTCCCCATATGGGCCAGGCTCAAGAGGGATGGCCAAGCTTTCATCAGGATTCCAGTGTGAGCCAGTGACCAGTGTATACAAAAACTAGCAACAACAGCTTCCTCCTCCCAGATCTTTACAGCCTAAGACTGTTCCTCCAGGACCCTCCTGTGGAGACTAGCCAACACCTACCCCAGCTCTGTACCAAATAAATAAGCTAAGTTTTGTCGCATGGTGTAGAAGGTGCTACTCCATCAGAACATGCACACCCCACAATGCCGCTTCTACTTAGGGTTCCAGGATTCTCTCAGCAGTCCATATTGAGAAGCCACTGAGTAATCTAAGGAGAGGAATTATTTGATGAGTTTTCCGTTGAGAATGATTGCTTTCATTGCCATGTGAAATATGGGTTGAAACAAGGAACGGTACATTACAGAAAAAAGCCTGTTAGGAAATAAATTATGTGAGCCCAGGCAAGAGATGGGGGGTGGGAGTAGCTTAATTTGGGAAAGGTTGTAGAGAGGCTACAGCGTCAAGCGGTTGGTTGTTTTGGTAGGGGTGGGAGGTGAGGGAGACACTGAAAGAGAAAGAAGTGCTTAGGATGGCTCTGGCTGGAACATGGGGAAGGATGTTGGTGTCATTTTCTATGACAGGGAACCCTAGGGGCCAAGTGGCTCTTGAGCAAGGTGAATGACAGAAAACCTGTGTCTTTGGTGCTTTCCTTGAATCAACACATGGCTTTGACTTCTTCTTATTCAGTGATTCTTAGCCACGCACAGTCTCTCGACCTTCCCACAGGGACCTCTGACAATGTCCGAATACATTTTTGATTGTCACTATTTCAGAAGTGAGTGGGTGGCTTTACCCTTGGCATCTATTAGGTAAAGACCTGGGATGTTCTTGAGGACCCTACATTGCAAAGGGACATCACCTGAAACAAAGAATTACATGGTGCAAAATGTCAAAAGGGCTGATGTTGAAGAATGGGCTCTAATTATTTCCTTCTCTCACTTCTGTCTGCCATAATATTCTCATGTCAATAAATCAGAGTCCTTGAGTATCTGAACATGCTCAAAAGTGAAGTCCTCATCAGTCTTCCCCTTCCTTGGTCGGGCTTCCCCCCTGTGGTCTCTCATTACATGTTAATCATTCTCTCCCCACATGCATTAGTAATGGACCTCGGAGACTCAGGCTGGCCTTTGAGGCCCCCATGAGAACATACTGGGAGAAATTTTTAGATGTCACAGTTTCACTTTTTCCTTACTTAATTTCACAGTTCTAAATTTGGAATTAAAATTTCATTCCATTTAGATAATGCTTCAAAAGACTGATGAATGTTATTCTAATATATTTTGAACCTTGATGGGCAAAATGCTGATTTTAGGGAAGTAATTAAATTTCGACTTATTTTTTCTTTTTAAAAATACATGACAACTAAATGTCCCATGGTTTTCAAGAAAGATTAAGCTACCCAGTTATTCTAGCACTTAGTGATTGTTAGCCAGGAAGAGTTCAATCTTCCCATGGGGAATTTTGGCAATGTCTGAATACATGGTTTGATTGCCATTATTTCAAAAGTAGGTGGGTGACTTTGGCTTTAGCATCCATTAGGTAAAGATCTGGGAGACTCAAGAGTTCAAAATTATCCTTAGGGACATTGTAAGTTCCAGGACAGCCTGAACTACATTAAAAAGCAAAGCAACTCCACCAAAACAAACAAACAAACAAACACCCCTCAAAACCCAAACTAAAAAATAATAAAAAAAACCCAAGTGAAAATCTGTCCTTCAAATAAACTTTTTCTAGAAAAATTCAGAACTTCTTTTACTTTTGAAAAATTTGTTAAATCTCAAAATTAAATTGTTGTGGAAGTGTAAATATATTGTAATTTAATAACTATCATAATTAAGTACTTATCCTAGTTAAGGCCTATATTTAGTATCTTGCCAAATGCATTGGTGAACATAACAGGTTAACTGGGTTTTTGACTCAAGTTATGCTCAATTTGTTTCCAACAAATCTTACTGAGTGCATACTCTTTCTGGTTGCTGTTTTTCAAAAATATATCAGCTGACAATTTATACCCAGTCTCTCCCATAAAGTCAGATCTCCCTTACAGATGATCATATCAAGGAGATTTCATTATTAAATCATAGGTTAATATGAGTAAATAGGAAACCTCCATGCTATTTATGAGCTAATCAAGAGTGATTTCCATAAAAAAATAGTAATTAATGAAAGCTGAGTAAGTTAGCCGTGCACAGTGCGCACAGTCCTGGTAGAGCATACGCAGCACCTCAGGCAAAGTTTGCTTCATTTTACTCAGGAAACACACAGAAGGATTTGAGATTTAACACTTCCTGCTGAGAAGTCATCAAAGAGTTAAGTAGAAAAATTATTTGATGAGATTAAGATGTAAAATGATTATTTTTACTGTCATCTGAAAAATGGGGTCGAGGTTGAAGGAAAGAGAGGAAACCTTTTAGAAAATAAATTATTTTCTATTTTATTTAGCAAGAGATGAGAGTGACTTAGATTAAAAAGGGGTAGAAAGACGAGGCAGGGCCAAGTAGATTTGGTGATTGGCTATTTTGGCAGGGGTGGGAGGTAAGGGAGATACTGAAAGGGAAAGAAATGCTTAGGATGGCTCTGGCTGGAACATGGAGAAAAGTGCTGGTACCATTTACACGACAGGAGACCCTGGGGCACAGGCAGTTTTTGTTCAAGGTAGTTATAGATCATAAATTTATTCTAGACTATTCCATGTTAAAAATTCTTAAAACATATTCAAGTGTGGTAGATAGAGTTACTGTAGACATTTGGAATTATACATCTACAACTTAGAAAAATGGTCTGGACCAAAGATAGGATATGGAAGACTGTTATAGATAGTGTTTGACAATATGAGAAAAGATGAGATCTCCTTGGAAGAGAAAGTAGAAGGAGTTACGTGTAGGCTCAAGGCGTGAGGAAGGACACACCGAGAGATGTTACAAAATCAACAAGGGAAGTATGTGTCTGCATATGTCCCTTTTACCGAGGAGGAAAACGATTCCTAGAATCCCACCCCCCCAACAGATCTCCACTCGTATCTAGGACAGGAACATGAGAGGAGCCTAGGAGAGAATGACTGTAGCTGGAGACTTGGTAGAAGTGTATGGAAAATGGTCTTTGTGGAATGCAACCAAGACAATTATTAATCAACAACAGCAAGGAAAGGAGGCATGATAAGGGAACAGTAGTGCTTAAGGGGACTGCATTCATTGAACCATACAGTAAAAGCAATGGAAGCTATGGCCTCGGCCTTAGGCAGAATTGCCAGTTGTTATCATGTAGAAATAGCTCTGAAGAGATTGGAAATACCAGGACAGTATCTGAAAAAATAATAAAGTCAAAGCTGCAAATGTCTCCATAGCACCTTCCTCCAGCAACTGATGGAAACAGAGGCAGAGATCCACAGCGGAGCACTGGGCTAAGCTCCCAAAGTCCAGTTGAAGAGTGGAAGGGGTGAGAATATGAACAAAGAGATCAAGACCATGATGGGGACACCCACTGAAACAGTTTACCTGAGTCAATGGGAACTCACCAACTCCAGCTGGACTGGGAGGGAACAAGCATAGGACCAAACTGGATCCTCTGAATGTGGGTGACAGTTGTATGGCTGGGGCAGACTGCAGGGCAGTGTCACCAGGATTTATCTTTACTGCATGTACTGGATTTTTGGGAGCCCATTCTCTTTGGATGGATAGCTTGCTTAGCCTAGATATAGTAGGGAGGGCCTTGGATCTTCCCTAAAGCAAGGAGTCTTACTTTCTCTGAAGAGTGGTTGGGGGTGGGATGGGGGTGGGCAGTTGGAGGGAATGGGAGAAAGGGAAGGAGTGGGAACTGGGATTGGTATGTGAAATGGAAAAAGATAGATTGTTTTCTTTTTAAATAAAATAAAATAAAGAAAACAGCTTCTCTGTGGACTTCTATGCTCTCTGTACAAATCTTTCCTGCTTTACCCACCAACACATTATTAGGAGCTTAGCATATAGAACACAATGTCAAGTTTAATTAACTCAATGAACAAATAAATTGTAAGAACTTGTGAGAAAAGAAAATACTTAACAGAATGACTGTGTCTTCCATTCTGTGTTTCCAAAACATGCATATATAAGTGGGTAATAAATATGAAGAAATCAATAGCGAGAAAACAGATTAAAAACCGGGCAAAGGTCTTGCACAGGCATTTCTCAAAAGCAGGTCTGCACACGACTAAGAAGTATATGACAAAAACTCTGTGAGCTTTGTCCTCACTCCAGTTAGAATGGTTATGGTTACAATGACAAGTGTCGGCAAGGATGTGGAGACAAGGTAAAGTTGCACACTATTCCTATGAATGCAGATCTGTTAAGCCATCGTGGAAAACAGTTGGATGCTCCTAAAAGGTAGAATCACTGTTAGAGCACTGAGGTCTGAAGCAATGTAGAGAGTATGTAAAGAAATTGAGGTGGTGAATATGTGACTTAGCATGACTCAGCCATTCAACCTTGTGCCTATGGCAAAACATTACATGAGACCCCATAAAAGATGCAATTATGATTTAACTAAATATAAGACCAATTTAAAAAGAATCTATAATGTGATGGAACCAAGACGACAGAAATAGGAATGTAGTACTTCTTTGATGAATTTCGATCTTACTTCTTTCATTGGCAATGGGACTGACTTGACTTAGTAAAACAGTGACATTTCACAGACTGAGGAACACACCCTGTTCATTCCCTTTCCAATGTCTGTCCCTGAAATGGAGACCTCTTTGCAAGAAACGTCCACAACTGAAGAGTTGGGGGTGGAGATGTAAGATATAGGCCTTGTCAACTGAAGTCTTTATCCGCTTAGGAACTGCAGAACACCCTGGT